CTTTCCCTTGAGTAATATATTTTTTTTTTTGTATTTTTCTAATTGAACTCTCAAATCTTAAAATCATTAAACGAAATTTCTAATGTATGTAGTATATTAATTTATTTTAACATATACTATATAAGTAGGTAGGTATTGTATATATTTATAGTGTATGTATTTATGTAATATTTTATTATATATTTTAATATTTTATTTAACTGTATATTTGTTTATGTATTAATAGTTGTAGCACTTCAGCTGTCCGCTAACGAAATGCTTTCTTACTGTACTGGGTTGACTGGAAGAGATCTCTGTCAGAGATAAGTCCACCCTTGCTCACAACATTTATAAATAGATTATTTTATATGTAACTTACAAGTGCAATAAAGAATATATATATTATGTGTAACTTGACAAAATGTAACACACCTTGTCAAGTCGGCCTCAACGCGGTCCTTCTGGAAACCACCGTGATTAGTTTATTTATTTATTTATAAAAGACACACCAACAATATGCTCACAACAATTAAGCAGACAATGTACAATGTTATAAATAAGTAAAAAATAAAAAACTACTATTCAAAAATGCTTAAATCTAAGTTTACTTGAACAAAAACATCTCACTCCTCACTACCAAGCTTAAGGTCATATGAACACATCAATTAAAGGTGTATACAGCTCTCACAGATAAGCGTCAATGTATACTAACTAACAATTATACAATTAGAGAAGACCTAACTACCAATCCATATTATTAATAAGCCTAGTAAACTGCACTAAAGAATTACCAAAGATGTCGATATCATGGTCAACGTTTATGGCTTTATTATACGATGATAACATTCTGTTGAGGGGAGAATTGGGTCCTAAGTTAGTTCCTTCCGTATTCACCACAGTATACCAACTGACCTGCTTTCATCCTCATCGTTTCATCCTCCACTAACTTCCCGCCCATAGAATACCGTTTTTTTTTTCATGGGTGAAAATGGAATGGTAACTCCACCTGCGCCAACGGGATACGTAGGCGGGGCACCAGTGAAGGATGATAGGTGAGGATGAAGCAGGTCAGTTAGCCCATCGTCACGAATTTAACAAGAATTGTTCACGATGGTTTCCAGGGGGAACCACGTGGAGGTCGACCTAATAGGGCATATTGCTAGCAATAGGGCTATTAAACTCCATTGCTAACAATTCCTTCCCCCCCCCCAGTTCCTTTCGTATTCGCCACAGTAGACCAACTGACTTGCTTTCATCCCCATCGTTTCATCCTCCACTAACTTCCCGCCCATAGAATACCGTTAGCATAGAGTATTATTATCACTGTCGTTACTTCTTGTAATTGTTTATATCTAGAATAAGTTTACTGTTGTAGTCTTTTGGAGGAAACAATAAAGTCTATCTATTTATCCTTGAAAATTGTCACTCCATTTCTTATAATTCCAATATCTGCATTGAACAAACTTAACCTCATAACCTTATTCATTCCATATTGATGTTATAGTGAACTACTTTTTTTTTGTGGATGAAAATGGAATGGTATCCCCGCCTGAGCTAACGGGATACGCTGCTGGAGCACCAGTGAAGGGTGATCGATGAGAATGAAAACAGGCCAGTTAGCCCATCATGATGAATTCATCAGGAATTAATCATGATAGTTTCCAGGGGAAACCACGATGAGGTCGACCTGATTGGGTGTATTGCTAGCAATGGGATTTTTAGTCTCCATTACTAACAATCTCTTTCCCTCCAGTGAACTACTATGAAACAAAATTTTTGATCCACCAGTGGACCGAGACCAGTTTGGACCAGTAGTCCAACGCTGTAAGCACTTCCTAAATGGTTACAACGTTACTCTGTATAAACATGTCCATTAGACGCCTGGTAGGATAGAGTTGTTTTTGCCGTCTGAGATGTGGTGAGTGCGAAAGCGAACCCATGTCTCCGACATATGGCACCTCGAGGGTATATCGTCTGGTTTTTAGTGGGTACACCCTCACCTTACGGGGAGATTCCCACAGTACCCATTCACCTCCCACAAGGTGTATGGGTCTGCATAAAGCATTTTCCAGACGTTAAAAAAAAAGGATAGAGTTATAATAATAATAATAATAATAATTTATTTATTTGCTAGAAATGTGGTTATAATAATGGTCTTAAATATAATAGATCTACACATTTCGCCTTATCTAAAGGCATGCAAATTTCGTATTATAATTTAGTGGCTTACGTATATTAATAGCCTAGTAGGAGTCAATCCATAAACATTGGCAGCCGCACACATATGTTGTTTATATTGTAGATGTTAATGCAAAATTTACTTAATAATTATAATAATTTTTGACGTAATAATAAAATTTTACGTTATGTAAGTGTTATTAGTCAAACTGTTCCTTCTTGCAGCTCGCGACCCGTGACCGTACCGGCCGTTTGTAACTGCGTAACTCTAAACCCAGCCTTCCTGATAGACGGTAATCTATTGAGAAAATAGGGGGAGGGGGGCTAATATGACCACTTATTTCATAATAGAATTCAATAACAATTCATTCAGGAGGGGGGGAGAAAGGAATTGTTAGCCATGGAGTTTGACAGTCCCATTGCTAGCAATATGCCCTAGTAGGTCGACCTCCACGTGGTTCCCCGTGGAAACCATCTTGAACAATTCTTTTTGAATTCGTCACGGTGGGCTAATTGACTTACTTCATCCTCACCTATCATCCTTCACTGGTGTCCCGCCTGTGTATACTGATAACGCGGGTGGGGCTACAATTCCATTATCATCCATTAAAAAAAAACAATGCATTCATGGCCTCGATAGTTTAGCGATTTCATATACTGCTTCTTTTCCTGATAGGATTCGATGTCCGGATAATGCACTCTGCGAATGACAGAGGCAGATCCTTGCCTAGACATGTTAATAACAATATTCTGAACGGTATTCAGTCTCTTTATACCATTTATCTTATTTATCTACAAGAGAGAGATTTTGACTTTTTTCTTGGCATATGGTAGTGTAATTACAGGATTTGGCGTGAATTTACAGGGTACAGAGGAATAACACCTGAGTCCTCAGGAATGACAATGCATGGGGTATCATGGGCGAAACAGTATACTCTGTTATGTCCATGGTACTGCTCATGTCTATATATTACCACTTTCCATATATTGTTTGCCATTCTAAGTTGTATATAAAAAAAAAACATTAAACTAAATTTACGTATCAAGATAAAACATATTCTAAGTTTTAAGTTAGTCCTTAAGAAATAAAACTATAAAAACTGCATCCAATTTGGTACGGTAAGTTTAGCTTGATGTTGGAACAAACATATAGACAGACGGACAAACAGATAAAAAACAAAAGGTAAAAAATAAAACAGTTAAAAAATAAAAACAAAATAAAAGACAGGTGTTTTTTAACGCTGTTGCCCATCACTCGCCCTCCCTTAGTCGCCTCTTACAACACCCACGGGAAAGGAAGGAAGGAAGTGATGGCCTATTCTATGCCGGCACCACACGGCCAGATTCTAGAGTACTAGAAATTATTCCCTACATACAAACAATTATATTTTAATACTACTTCTAGTCTGTACTGCGTTCGTCTAAAAAAACACCCTGTCTTTTATTTTTTAACTGTTTTATTTTTTATCTGTATATATGTATTCTATAGTCTCTACTTAACTCTTACTTTACTTTTCTCTAAAGGAATAACCTAAAATAACCTATAATATATATATATATATATATATATATATTATTTATATATATTTTATTTTTTTTGAAAAATAAGTTGTAGGAAAAACTAGAAAATTTATATTTAATAAGAATATACGTAATCAGAATGAATGATTTTTCTTTGCATCGTTATTAAAAACTGTGGTCATGCCCTACACAGATTTTATTAACAAAAGAGCAAGGGTATCGATGTAATAAAAAAAAATACATTAATAATAATTGACCTCTATAATACAGGATTTTCCTAACATAGAGGTCAGAGAGACTTACTAACAATCAATAAATATTCTATGTATGCATCTTGTATGACCATTTTAAAAATAAAAAAAAATATCAAATAATGTTGTCCTTTGCCCTATTACTGGGATATATAGAAAATTCAGCAAAAATTTAATAATCTAAATCTGAAATGATAATCTGATTTCCTCTTATAGGAAAAGCCTATGTTCAACACTAGACAGATAAGAACAGAATTACTGTAACCTATGTAGCTATAAGTTTTATTGTTGTTATTTTGTGAGTGAATAAATATATATTTACTTTTAAAAAAGTCATGGTTAATATCGTGTAAAATTTCCATGATAAGGCCACTGTCATTTATCCACCATTGCTAGACATATATTTATGGTACCTAGATATGCTAAGCATGTACAACAGTGATCTATACCTAAAACTTCATATCAAACCTATATGGTCCCCATATTCCAAAGTTTACGTTGTTTTCTAACATGTTATTACTAAGGGGGGAGAAGGAATTTTAAGTAATGGGGTCTAACTGACCCATTGCTGGCAATACACCCTGTCAGGTCAACCTCCACGCGGTTCCTCCTGGAAACCGACGTGATTAATTCTAGTGGAATTCGTCACGATGGGCTAACTGACCTGCCTTTTCATCCTCACCTATCATCCCTCACTGGTACCCCGCCAGTGTATACCGACAGCGTAGGCGAGGCTACCATTCCATTATCACTCATTAAAAATAAATAAAAAAATTATATTAGTACTTACTTATGTATACTTATCTTAAAGTATGTTGTCACAAATTATACAGATGAGCTCACTTCATAATTAAGTATTCAAGTTAGTATTACGCATTGTCTGTTACTAGTGGAATCGAATAAGATTACATACACATCATGCGTAAACTGGCCACGTTAATACGTACCAGTTACTATGCCAAAATAAAACTTCAATTACCCAACGAAAAATACCTTTGACCTTATCAACTATCAATCTCAAAAAAAACCGAAAAAATCGCATGATGCCCTCCAATTAGACAAAACTTCCTATACCAAGCATCTCCCCTGCTTGCACAACCTATCCTATCCTTTCTCCGCCCCACCGCGGACTCCAGTTAGGTATATAGCACCTGATACATCCATGAACATCACATTACTTCACTACGACCCGCAGTGACCCATCACTAAGCAACATGAAAGCCTTCGTTGCGGTAAGTCCAGTGAAGTGACTGTGCCTATGTGTTTAAAAAATCAAAAGTGACAAGTGCTTGTGACGTTCGGAAATCAAATATGACAGTGCATTCGCGCGTTTTTGTGATGTGTGTTTTTTTTTCTTTTCTTTTTTTTTTAGTAATGTTTTTTTTTTAATGCACTAACACAATTGATTTCGGAATGTCATTTTGACCGATTAGTGTAATCGATAGGTATCGGGTTGAAATCGTATGCACCAAGTTTGGACAAATTAAATGGAAGTACTAAAAATAATTAACTTACTGGATCACGATTACAATCTTTTTCGATAAAAGTTTATTGGCATATTCATATATATATATACCATTTAATTGACTTTACATATTATTTAATTAAAGTATATATGCTAATTTATATGCATTAAAGTGCTTTACAGATTTAATACGATTTCTCATAAAATCATTATTCTGGATCCACGTGTCTAGTAAATATCTGAATGCACTTTTTAATAAACAATAACAAATTTATTTTTTTCTATAAAATAAAATCCCAAAAACAGTATTGATGTTATTTATATATAATACAGGTAACTAATTTCAATTTTAAATTAATTATCTATTCTATATGGTACCATAGGATAATATAATACTTATTCCTTAAACTATGGTGCTTTGAACTTAAGTATTAACTAATGTTTTTTTTTTATTATTTTTATTAAATATTATAAAGATATAGAGCTACGAGTAGTAATTATCACAGTAACTAAAAGGAAACACCCTTAAGTTAATTATTACATCCATAATTTTTTTAATAAAATGTTGAAAAAAATATATTTACAGTTCTGTTGTACGTTCTTATATAGTTTTCGAAAAGGACATTTACATTTTTCTAGGAGAAATCATTAACTGAAGAAGGTAATAAAATGACAGCATAATACTTCTTGCTTAGTAATATTTTGTGCTGGTAAATTTTACTTAATTTTTTTTTTTTATTAATTAAATATAGTAAATTATTACAGTATTTATTATTGTTCAATAGAATGAATAAGTTATTTTTTGTCTGCAGCTGTATTTTTATATAAAATATTCGTTATAAAGGTCCTATCATCTGTCTTAACTAATTATGAAAACGATAAATTAAACTCATTCGATTTACAAAATCGTCATGTTCGATTCATTGTTTGAACAAATATCGCGTAATATCGTTTCCTTTAGAAATTGTTTTAAAATGAGAATATTCTCAAATTATTTTTTTCATTTTAACACCATAAATAATAAATATACCCAGATTGCCTAGTTAACATAATAACACACTGGTGACTACTAATAAATTACGTGATACCATTTACAATTATTTCGCAAGATGCGCAAACGCATCCTCGGCTAGCTTGTGCAACTAACCCGGTCAAAGGTCGGCACAGCTACCCCATAGCTTGCAATACCGGTCGGTAACAACATAGAAAATTACAAAATACCATCTGACGTATTATTTTTGTATTTTATAGTTTTGTTTAAATTATTTATATAATATTACAAAATACTGTTTTAATGGTAACCAAAAGCATACAGCCCGACTGATGGTAAAGATTACTGCAGTCTATAGAAGCCTACGACAGTAAAGGTGTCACTTACGCTTCGATAATACTTAGTAAACTTAATTATTCCATTTCGTCTAGATTCCAGGGCCGGATTATCCATTATGCAAACTACTTGGGGCCCGCTATCTATATAGGGCCCCGCGCCTCAACAAATTATTTGTTCTTGAGATTTTTTTTTAATTAAAATTCCGTGTAGATATATATATATTAAACAAACCCTCAGTTAAAATATTATTATATGTATATTTTAGTTTACATCGTCATATTTCAGTATATTTGGTAACACATTTCAAATTATTGTATCTGGAAGATTTGCATTGCCTAGTGGCTCCAACATAGTTGATTCGACCCTGCTAGTCCCCATTATTAACAATCGACTAGGTTTTCTAAAAAGTAGTCTATCTATATTCTTTCTTAGTCCTTAGGTATCCACAACAAATTCTATCAAAATCAATTTAGATATTTCGCTAAAAAAAAAACAAAACGTTGGCATTACGTTTATATTTAGAATTGTATACAACATTCGAAAGTATTTAATATTATTCTGTAATAGATATTTAAGTTTCAAATATCGAATTTAAATTATATTGATTTAAAAAGTTGAAAATTTAAATTGTATACAAAATCAGCATAACTTTCTTGGACAGCATACCAAATCTTCAAACGTTATATCAGGTTCTAGAACTAATTTGTATAAAATATATATATTTTCACTTTTACTTCAATCGTTATAATAACTTACAAAATATCATTAACTGTTCTAACGTTGAAACTTTCCAAATTTTAATATAAATAAATTATATATTTATAAATTTTTGTCACATGAATATAAAATATTAAAACCCGTTAGAAACTCAACAATTATTAGTTTTAAATCTCTGTTAACATTGTGTGTATTTATTTAAATGTACCATGTCTAAAATTATTTGGTCATTAAAAAGCCCGTGCATGATCGACTGACACCATGCACAATTGTCAGAAAGACAATAAAACTGTTAACAAATTCATATTATATAGATAAAACCAATGGGAATGTTTATCTAAAAGGTAATCGGGAAAGTAGTTACAATAAAGTAATTTATTACTTATTGCATAAAGTCTCTTCTCGTTTTACGACGCCATACGTTGATTATAAATCAATAATGATCATCATTACATCGGTTTCATAAGAGTATTAGCTATGACGCCATTATGTCAATGTTTAGAAAATGTTTTTTAATTTTTTTTTTTTAATTCAAACTAAGGTAATAACTGGAAGAGAGCTATATTAAATCTTAAACTTTTTTGGAATAAAAATAAATGGATTTTATTAAAAAAAATAAAAAATAAAATTACATATTTAGCGGCTGAAATCTATTAAAAACAATTTTATGGTTCATTAAATCAGAAGACAGAAGTTCAAATAAGTAATGCATCAAGCGACATACAATAAACCACAAAGTGGCCGTCACCGCCGCGATTTACCGTCAAAGAGATGTGACAAGAATAACGTCCGATTGATATTCCAAATGGATATAATGACACAACTGAATCCAATTCTAAACACGAACAGGTGTAAATACAATTTCTAAATGCATCGAAACGCAATCAAGCTGTTAAATGGTCAAGAACAAAATGTCAATAAAATTATTTGCCAATGTTTTTATTTTTCGGTCTACTATCTACTATTATTACTAGGTTGACTATGCTTTGTCTCATAATAAAAGTATTTCGCTTAAAAACATCCTAAGAATCCATTATTCGTAGGCAAACATCGCGTAACAAATAAATCATTTTATAAGATACTAGCAATCCAGCCCGGCTTTGCATGGGTACAAAGAATTTTTGAGAATAATATATAGCTTAGGTCACTCACTGCTAATGTGAAAGAATTTTGAAAATCGATTGAGTAGTTTTTGAATCAATCCATTACAAACAAATAAACAAATCTTTGATTTTTATAATATTAGTATATATATATAGTATAATAGATAAAACCTTTCGTTTTGAGTATACCATCGATCCATTGTCCACTATTCAACACATGTTGTCTCCCAAAATGTAATGATTAGCATATTACGAAAATACTCACTTCAAATATGCAATCAAAATTGCGAGGTCCAATGATGAAAACGACGGTAGTCGGTAATTTTATTCGAGCGATTATGAAAACGCAAATGTAATCGATTCTTGATGATCGAATTGTAAAATAATGAGATTACTCGATGCTAATTCGATTTGGACAAAGTGAATTACAAAGTTACCACTAAAACTTTCAAATCGTGAGCCTTTCCGATGCCATCCACCATGTCCAGTCCTCTACATTCCGCATTCTATATTCAAATTTTTAATTCAACTCAAGTACTTTACTATATGACAAAATTTAGACAATAAATTTGAATTTATTTCTGCCGTTTTTATTATATATTACAATAGCTAAATAACACTATATTTAAATGAAAATTATCGCTTACTAATTAAATTAATAGTCAAAAAATAAATCACGTAGAGCAGAACCGTCGCTGTGTTATTTTTAAATAATGTAAATTATGAACGATAGATAGAGAGAAGAAATTTTATAAATGAATATTGAAAATAGAAAACGCAAGAACCGCAGTAATATTTTGTCATCAAATAAATATAATTATGGAAATTTTAAGAAACGACTTCATAACCGCTGGTTATAAAAACAGAGAGTGGACGCAACGAAGTTTATGGGCTATAATAATTATTATTATTACAAATCATCTGCGTTTTAATGATTAGCAATTTAGCGTTGTAAATAACAGATGCCTAGTTGACAACGCAGAGACAATCAACGGTTCAAAGTTGAAGACTGTTTAATGGCGATTGCGTGAGTTCCGGTGCAGATACCGGAAGCGGCGCCACGTTGTGACGCAATAGTTGCATGCCGTATTGCTTGCAAGTGAACTTTACACTAAATAGCTGATCACAAATATCTCTAAAAAGCATAAAACAAAGTATTTTTCTGCATTTACCTGTTTCTCCGTTTACGTCTTTAAAAACCAATTAACAGATTTTGATACAAGTTTCACTATCATTTAGATATTTTTTACAGAAAATTGGTCCACAATATATCATAATTTACACCTGTGCGAAGCTGGGTGGGTTACTAGTTTATTAAAATACAAAATTATAATATCAAATTTATAAACATAGAAACGACTCTTTAACGTTTTTAAATTCTAATCTGTCATTTAGATAAAGTCATTCGACGACTTTCATGTATTATTTAACATAATTAATGAATAATGCATTTTTCTCTTTTTAAATTAGATATTATGCTATTAACTTTATAGACAACATGGCAGATCTTTTATATCTGCTTCCATACTAATTAATTATCTACTTTGTACCTTCTTTCATTGCATTATGCATTAACACTTACACTTTCGCATTGCACAGTTTATGTTTATAAGAGGCTGCAATTAATGCCATCATTAAATGATTATCATCGTGTTAATTTCCGTGTTATAAACCATAAGTCATGTTAAGAACATGATAACTTTTGACCATCACATTTCTTTGATCAATTCTAATAAAAATAGCATACCCTATGATGTAATATGGCCAATACCGATTTCAAAGATCAGACCCACGGAATCCCCAATGCATGCCAATATGCCGTGATCCTCCGGCGATCCGTGATGCAATCCCTTCGAACTATGACCTCACTTTCCCTCAACACCTAATCACTATTGTCTATCTAATCGTTTTATTGCTTTGTGACTATTATAATTCACCGTAGAGATTTCACTGTTGTGTTTAAATTTTACGTTTCATAATAAAAATCTTTATCAGTTACGCAAACTTACGTCTATATTTCACATACAGTATTAAATTGTAAGAGACGTAAATTGGAACGTGTTTCTCGAACGTTTGTTTAAATTTAAAAATCAACAAGACATCATAACGAGTTTCATCGAGGAACTGGCCTTAAATAAAGTTGGTATTCGCCGGAAAATAAAAAATAAACGGTATAATATAGTTATGTAGTTCCTGGCACTGGTGTCATAACTATAGGCGTATTTAGAAAGGTAGTGTAGACCATGCTTACCCCAGAATCGTCTGGTACTGCAGATGGGCTGAATCGAAACATCCGAAGCCGTATCTACAAAGCTATCTTAAAAAAAAAATATTACGAATGTTACCTACAAAGTCTTGACCTGAATATTGTGAGTAAACAAATTTCACTATCAATTAACTTCAAGTGTTAGAAAAACACAGAAACAGTTGGTCAATAATGTTTACGCAACTTATTGAATAACTCCGTATTTACATATATTTTAATACTGAGATGCGAACGTATTAGCAAACACTGTATTTATCGAAATGGAAAGCGAACACAATGCACGCTACTAACGGAATCATGAGTGTATCCCATTTCACCGAGCCACCTCAGTTAGCCAATTATGTAAATTCATTTCTCTATTACATACTAAACAAATTCGAATGAGCATTCATTTGAATATGGATTCATTTACTTTTACTAAATATCATAACAGCCTTTCAATCTATATTTAAAATCAAATTGTTTATAACATTTTTTATATCCAAACTCATAAGGTATTTAAGGAGGGAGAAGCGCCGTGTCCATCTCAGAATTGTCTAGTCCCGATTCCAGATTGCGAACGAAGCTGTAAACTATGCTCAAAGACATCTAAAGACGTGCCTTTTTCCCAAATTTCTCCTGGAAAATAAACTTAATTACGCCAATGTGCAAACTGTACAAAAGGTAATAGAAATTTTACGTGCATAATTTACAAGAACAAACAAAATTTTGTGCATTAAAGAGGTAAATGGAACATGAAAGTCCATCCTCAATATATAGTGTTTATGATAATGAACTTTGAAAGTTAAAACTAACTACATATCTTAATTTATATGTAACTAAAATAATTTAATAATAGTACAGTAAATAGAAGTGTTACTATATCATAATATCTAGGTGCTAACTCTGTAGTAACTCGTTATGTTTACGGTAAAAACCTGTGATACAATCATTGTCTACTTATTAGATAAATGATGTAATGATTTGGTTTATTTAGGTAAATACTAGTTCTTAATGTAAACATCCAAAAATTCGTACGTACGTCAGTTCCAATTCGTGTGAAATATGACAACGGCAAAGAATAAACACACAAATGCCTATATTTAATGTTTTAAATGTTTACCACAAATCATGGTATGTTTATACAAGTAAATGTCGTAAACTTCAATTAAAAAAAAAAAACTTTAACTTGCAAATTGACCATAATAAAGTAGTAAAGTATATTACGGCCTCATTATTGTCTCTAAATGAGTTTTCAGTTAGTCGGTGCTGTAGTTTTAATATTCAATGTTCAAGCCCCCACATTTTCACCGCTTCACAGCTAAACTGATGTACTTCTCTATTATCAATACATTTTTTCTAAATAATTTAACTCTATCTTACTCACTTGGTCAATTATAAAATAAAAATACATCGGTTGGTAAAAACTGACGTTAGAATTGCATAAATACATTTCGACAACGCTCGTAGCTTGAATGTTCTAAAATTATCTCCTATTTATTTACGAATTGTATAACTATTATAATTTCGGTGTCGGTTATACTTGGGAAGGTCTTACACCTCATTAACCTCTTACCCAACTGTGCCGACAGCCTTAATGGAAATATTTCAAATGTACGAACATAACATAACAATATTACAAATCATTTTGTAATGATTTTCTAAATGGTTTAGTTGCTGGTTAAACGACTATTAGAGTAATAAATGAATAGATGACGTTAGACATAAATAATTACTTAGTTTATGGTGATTTTTTACAAACCATGACGAAAAAAGAAATAAGAATTGCACAAATTACAGAAGTAAAATTTTAAATTTAGAACCTATAAGATATTGGGATTTCATTAACAATCTATACAACGTAAAGCAATATCCACCTATAAGGAGTTCCACTGTAACATGTAAAGCACTTTATTGTCTACTTGGATTTATTTCATATTATAATAGCACGGGTAGTTTGAGTAAAACTGTTTTTACACATGGAAACAAGCGCTTGTCAAAATTTATTTAATCTTTATTTATCAATAAATTTTTGGAAACTAATCATACATTTGTTCAACAGTGCATAGCCCTCGCGTTGGTAGCGTGCGCAAGCGCCGAGCCCCCGTCCGGCTACAACTACAACCGCCCATCAGGCGGCGGCGGCTTCAGCGGCGGTTTCAGCGGTGGCTTCAGCGGTGGCCTGAGCGGCGGTGGCGGCTACAGAGCCGTCTCCTCCGGCTACCAGACCTCCGAAGGCCAGAACGTCGACCCCCAACTCCTCGAGCAAGTCCGCCAGATCCTCCTTAAAGAAGAATCCTCCTCTTCGTCTGGATCCGGATTCGGTGGTGGCGCCAGCGCTCCGTCCTCCTCCTACGGCGCTCCATCCTCATCCTACGGTGCCCCGTCCTCCTCATATGGAGCTCCATCCACCAGCTATGGCGCCCCATCGGCCCGCGTTGTAGGCATCAACCTCGAGGGAGTCCGTCAGGCCATCCAAGTCGCCCAATTCGAGCAGTCCGGTGGCTCCTCCGGTGGTTACCCATCTGGACCTTCGTCATCATACGGTGCGCCCGCCCGCGCGCCCTCTGGCAGCTACGGCGCCCCCTACTAAGTTAAATAAATAACTCCGAACGCCCATCTCGACGCCTAGTTCGGAAATTTGTTATTCGGGCGCGTCTCAACCAACTCCGGGCAGCTCGAATGTGTAAACCAATCGGTCGACAGTCACGTACAATGTAGGTGGTGTCGGCCCGGCCGTGTGCCACCAAGATCGGCCAACGCTTGCGACTGTGCACGAACACGGGTTATGATGCCCCAGCGGCAAGCCAGTCGTCTGTGGCGACAACTCGCTAGGTTCCCTTGCGGAGTTGGTCCCTGAAAGCACGAAGTGGCTTCCCGCTGGGCTCGGCTCATGTCTTGTATAAAGTTTATCATAAGATTAGCTTAATTTATAGATAAGTTTTTATTTTTGTTTACAAAAAAAAATAAATAAATACATTTTGACACCGTAACACGTATTTGTTTTCATTAGAAACTCTCTATTTCCTGCGCTTTTACCTATACACATACTTTCCAAGTACTCATCACATAAATAGTTGGTGACTGCGGTCAGGATTGCATCCCAACCTATATGTCTTTCAAATTCCTTTTTGAATCATATAAAACTGATCAAGTAATTGACTTACCCCATGTTTTGGATGGTATATAAAACGATCATCCAATAAGCCAAGTTCATTTATCATAAAGGTAGCATAGAAAGTATACGTAAAAGAACGCCACCCCCACACAAATAGTGAGCACTTACATATTAACATAGTTAATAGTATTTTAAGAAGAGAACGGCCATATGTATTACAAAACATATTATTTATAGAAGACCTCGTGTCTTGTACAATCCTTACGTAAACAGAATATGCTCAGTAAGCCGCGATCACAAAATCTATTAGTTTTTATTTTATAACCCAACTAATAAACAAACATTATACAATGACTATATCATCGAATGAGTTCATCAGTTTAGTTAAATAAGAGCGGTTCTCGACCATCGGTATCTGGTAACACCTTTCTTTTTTAACGTAAGGAAAATTTCCTAAAATAACCTCATGTTAAAAAATTTAAGTCCCAGCTGCCAGAGGAACGGTAGAAGAACTGTGTGAAATTTTTATCCATTAAAACCTTATGACGTGTCTCTAGGTGCAATGCTGGATCCCAGGGTTCCTCGTTGTATATGACCCAGTATCCAACGAGAACTATTAACACCTTGAAACATATTTAAAGCTGTCGCTCCACAGTCTCTATCACTATAGTATATGGCTATAGTTTTTTTTAATGGGTGATAATGGTGTGGTACATTGATTGCGCTAACGATACACGCTGGCAAGGTACCAGTGAGGGATGATAGGTGACGATGAAAACAGGTCAGTTAGCTCACCGTGACAAATTCCACTAGAATTAACCACGATGGTTTCCAGGGGGAACCACGTAGAGATCGACCTGATAGAGTGTATTGCTAGCAATGAGTTAGACTCTGTTACTAACAATCCCTTTCCCCCCATGTATAAGATTTTTACCCATTAAAACCTCACGACGTACTTCGAGGTGCAATGCTAGATCCCAGGATTCCTCTTCGTAGACGACCCAAGATCCAGCGCGATCTACTAACACTTAGCGACAGGGTTGGGGGAAAGGGATTGTTAGTAATGGAGACTGAGAATCCCATTGCTAGCAATATACCCAACCAGGTCGACCTCCTCGCGGTTCTCCCTGGAAACTATCATGGTTAATTCTGATGAATTCATCATGATGGGCTAACTGGCCTGTTTTCATTCTCATCTATCACCCTTCACTGGTGCTCCGCCAGCGTATCCCGTTAGCGCAGGCGGGGTTACCATACCATTTTCACCCATCAAAAAAAAAACACTAAGCGACACATTTAAAGCCATCTCTGCATCAGCCACAACACCATAATACCACTTATGGTATGAACTTTCTTGTCTTTTTCATAGCATTGGGAGACAAATTCTAAACAATGCTACTGCGAAAGTAACCATCATACGGTCCATACAATGAGAAGCAGTTATTTAAACTATAGATCTTTTCACGCTTTTATCGATGTACTCTTACTGTAGTCTCTTGTACTCTTCTTGTTACCTTTATAACTAGTTGAAACTTCTAATCTGAACGCAATTTAACACATACATACCTGAACCCTGATAATCATCATCTTCCTACCCTTATCCCAATTATTATTTGGGGTCGACGTAATACCTGAACCCTGATAATTTTTTTTTTGATTGGTGAAAATGGTATGGTAACCCCGCCTGCGCTAACGGGATACGCTGGCGGAGCACCAGTGAAGAGTGATAGATGAGAATGAAAACAGGCCACTTAGCCCATCATGATGAATTCATCAAGAATTAACCATGATAGTTTCCAGGGAGAACCGCGAGGAGGTCGACCTGGTTGGGTATATTGCTAGCAACGGGATTCTCAGTCTCCATTACTAACAATCCCTTTCCCCTCTACCCTGATAATATTAGATTCAATTTTATGTGGGCTCACTGTATTCTCGGGAAAAAAAGAAATAATAACACTGTATTTCAATTCTGCACCACACTGATAATGTACGGAGCTCTTGTAAAATTTCAAATTGTAAATACTAAATCATCAATCAATCAAAAATAGTCCATAGCCTACTTATTTTCAAAAAAACAATCGATCACTGTGTTCACGAACTTTATTGCAATTGATAGAATGAACTTCTCTATTGCCAGATCTTTCTTTTACTTCGCCCTGTACTCGAAAATAGTATTCTAATAATAATTTTACCCTTAATATTAAGCAACCTAAGTTGGTAGCAGAGGGGGGAAAAGGATTGTTAGCAATGGAATTTGACAGCCCCATTGCTAGCAATATACCTTATTAGGTCGCCCTCCACGTGGTTCCCCCTGGAAACCATCGTGAACAATTCTTGTTGAATTCGTCACGATGGGCTAACTGACCCACTTCATCCTCACCTATCATTCTTCACTGGTGCCCCGCCGGTGTATACCGATAGCGCGGGTGGGGTAACCATTCCATTATCATCCATTAAAAAAATAAAAAAAAGTTGGTAGCAGAGCATAATTATTTAGTTAACACACGATTCTGAGTTCTAAATTTAAATATTTCAATGTCTAATGTGTCTTTAAAATACCCTGCCACTCGTCAGTGCGTTTTATTCAATACATACATACATATCTGTCACGTCTGTCTCCCATTAGGGTAGGCAGAAACAATGGAACGCCAAATGCTTCGATTCAAACAAACCTCTTTCGCTTCTTCCACATTCATCAATCTTGTCATACACGCTCGCCGGTTACGGGTACTTTTAATTTGGCCCTTCTTCAGCACGTCGCCTATTTGGTCGACATACGTCCGTCTAGGGCGGCCCCTTTTATTCAATATCAGTATTAATTATGTTAATATCATTGTTTCTAATTCGTAGCAAAATGTACCCGTATCTTTTGCTATAACTGCTATATTAAAACACGCCGACATAGTCGTGCCACTTCTTTCTATTGCATTGCGTGACACACGAAACATCTGACATTTTTATCTCACGGAAACAACACATTTTCGTGATAAAAAAGTATTTGTTATCTAAGTAGGTATGTTATATTGAATTTCCTCTAACGAATTATTTTTTTATGCTACTTAGAATGGCAAACAAGCAGACGGCCCACCTGATGGAAAGTGGTAACCGTCGCCTATAACCATAAGCAGTAGTACCATGAGAGAGTAACAGAGTATACTGCGTGTGTCTACCAAGATACTCTTTATTTTAGAATGCCAATATGGCATTCTTGAGGATTGAGATGTTTTTTTAATGAGTGATAATGGAATGGTAACCCCACTTGCGGTATCGATATACGCGGGCGGGGCACCAGTGAGGAATGATAGGTAACGATAAATGCAGGTCAGTTAGCCCATTGCGATGAATTCCAATAGATTTAACCACGATGGTTTCCAAGAGGAACCGCGTGGAGGTCGACCTGATAGGGTGTATAGCTAGAAATGGGTCAGTTACACCCCATTACTAATAATCCCTTTTCCTCCATGATATTATAATATCATGATGACGAAAATTACAACCCATTTATATTGAGGGAAACCGTCGTGATTGGGGGGGGAAAGGGATTGTTAGTATTGCTACCAATATACCCAACCAGGTCGACCTCCTCGCGGTTCTCCCTAGAAACTATCATGGTCAACTCTAGTGGAATTCTTCACGATAGGCTAACTGACCTGCTTTCATCCTCACCTATCATCTCTCACTGGTGACCCGCCAGCGTATACCGATAGCGCAGGCGAGGCTACCATACCATTTTCACCCATCAAAAAAAACCGTCGTGCTAGCAATACACCCTATCAGGTCTACCTCCACGCGGTCTCCCTGGAAACTGTTATGGTCAACTCTAGTGGAATTCTTCACGATAGGCTGACTGATCTGCTTTCATCCTCATCTATCACCTGTCACTGGTGCCCCGCCAGTGTATACCGATAGCGCGGGCGGGGTTACCATTCCATTATCATCCATTAAAATACCTATATTTAAAATTATTTCGGACTAATTCATTGTCCAAGAACATATGATTATTATTTCTAAAAAATAATGTACCATTCTCTTCTAATGCATTTGTAAATGCAATTTTATTCTCGATTTTTGTTTGAAATATTTTTATTCGCGCCATTATCTTGGAGCCATTAGAATAGCGGGTGATCCTATTACAAATATATGGATATTACATTGTGTATCATATTAATCCAGAGCTTCAATCCAGAGTAAATTTCTTTAAATCCTACTATTACGTACGGGTTTTCACGTAAAATTTACAAAATTCTAAAGGGTTCTTTTTACTTGCCGATTTTCAGTTTCGTAAATACGTAGCTTTTTCACTTTCGTTTCTTTATTGCATACATTTTAATAGATTTTTTAAAGTCTTTTGAACTCTATTTATATATTATACATACTCAGCGAATACATAATTAGTGAGGTAAATAAATAAATGTATTTATTAAATTGAATTAGAAAAAATGGACAAGATAATACAAAGACCATTTATCATACTTGCATTATTAACAGTATGTTATATACATATATATACATAGTACTATATACATAATATTTCGAACAGTTCTCGTACAATTAGATGAATAAACAATGCCCTGGAGACTTTGAAATTGACGAGACAAAATCGCCACACGCTATACCAAGCTAACCGCCGTTTTCGCAGCCCCACACGGGCCGTCATTTGATCATTATGAAATCTGCAATCCCACGACTAATCGCTCGGATCTCATCCATAATACACGTTACATAAACTTACGTCATCCATGTCGGCAGCAAACACAATGGTCACTGGCTCCCGGCGATTTGGTGCACCTATGTATAATACATTTCGACATAATTGTTTCGGCCGCAGGTACCGCAACCGTGTGAATGGTCGCTTAATAGGCAGGTTAATTCTTAGATAGTTTAGACCAGTGTTTCCCAATCTTTGTGCCATGCCCCACATGAACATTTCTAAAATTTTTATGCCCCCATACATAATTTTTCCCGACAACGTTTACATGACGACTGTAATCGCCCAGTTGATATTTAATAACGTCAAACGAATTTAATATTTACAGCATTTTTTTATTTACTTTTTTTGTTAAATTTGACACCGATATCTACTCGTAGCATTGCATTTAAATGGCTCGGATCAAGAGGGTTAAAATCGATTCGAATCCATTTTAATTGCCCTTAACTATCAAATTGTCCCCCTGTGGGGCGTGGGCCCCACGTTGGGAAACACCGGTTTAGACTATTGCTGTGTGTGAAATCGCATTGTATACATGGCGCGTCTAATTACGACGAGCGCGTTTTAAATAGATAAAACGCCATTGTTGTGTAATTTTATTATGTGATTTTTGTAAATGGTGTCTGAGTATGCACCTTTAATCAAATTACAGAGGTAGACTTTGCACAAAAGTCGTTTGCTTGGGTACCTCTGTCCCATTCGTGTTTTAACCGTAAAGCAGTTGCGTTTGCATGGCTGTGTTTCGGTTTGAAGGGTGGGATATGGCGTGAATTTACAAGGTACAGAGGATTAACACATAAGCCCTGAAGAATGGCAACGCATGGAGGGGGTCATGGGCGAAACAGTATACTCTGTTATGTCCATGGTACTGCTCATGTCTATAGGCGACGGTTATCACTTTCCATCAGATGGGCCGTCAGCTTGTTTGCCATTCTAAGTTGTATAAAAAAAAATAGTCCATACTCCCACATTGAAATCATCGTCGTCGAATCCTTGTAAATTCGCCATGATTCATCAACTGGCTTGACTTAACATCATCTTCACTGGCGCCCTGCCAACGTATATTGATAGTAAAGGCAGAGTTACCAATCCATTTTTATTGGAGAAGAAAGGATGCCATGGTATTATTTTTATGGATGATAATGGAATGGTAACCCCGCCTGCGCTATCGGTATACACCGGCGGGGCACCAGTGAGGGATAATAGGTGGAGGTGAAAAGGCAGGTCAGTTAGCCCATCGTGACGAATTTAACGATAAATTAGTCACGATGGTTTCCAGGGGTATCGTGTCGAGGTCGACCTGGCAAATTATATTGATAGCAACGGGGACTAATAATAATGTTAATAATGCGGACTACCAGTCCCATTGCTAGCAATATACCCTGTCAGGTCGACCTCCACGTGGTCCCCCCTGGAAACTATTGTGTTGTATTCCAAGTGTATTCATCACGATGGGCTAACTGACCTGTCTTTTCATTATCACTTAACATCCTTCACTGGCGCCCCGCCAGCGTATACCGTTAGCGCAAAAGGGATTACCATCCCATTATCGTCCTTTAAAAAGAAATACATTATGCACTGGTAGACGCGGGCGAAGTCGTGAATAAAAGGTGCTATCCATGTCTATAGACGATGGTGCATGATTGATGTGTGTATACACTTTTGTATAGTTATAATATGCAGTAATTCTCCATTCAGTTTGAATCGAAGCATTTGGCGTTCCATTGTTTCTGCCTACCCTAATGGGAGACAGGCGTGACAGATATGTATGTATGTATGTATGTATGTAGTTCTCCATTGTATGTGTTCTGATTTGTATGTCAATATCGATACGTACGTGTAATTGTTTATCTGCCACATTTTTCATTTTTTCACCTTATGATTACATTTCTGAGGGGGAAAGGGATTGTTTGTAATGGACACTGAGAATCCTATTGCTAGCAATATACCCAACCAGGTCGACCTCCTCGCGGTCCTCCCTGGAAACTATCATGGTTAATTTCTAATGAATTCATCACGATGGGCTAACTGGCCTGTTTTCATTCTCATCTATCACCTTTCACTGGTGCTCCGCCAGCGTATCCTGTTAGCGCAGGCGGGGTTACCATACCATTTTCACCCATCAAAAAAAATTACATTTCTGTATTGCCAAGATTGACTGCGAGAGAATGCTATATAGTATTAAGTCCGCCTTTGGTACCAAAAAAAAATTGTTTTAATTAGGTCAATAAATAATAAATAAATAAAAGCTTGTACTTAGTACTTAAGAGACCACTGTGGTGCAGTGATGGGCACCTTACTTTGTGTAATGAGATCCCGGATTCAATTCCCGATCTAGACAATTAAACACGAACTTTTGTGGCTTGGCTCAACTCTGGTTGTTCTGGATGATGTCCCCAGTTCGTTGCCTGGTTCCTTATAACAAGAGGTAATCCTATCACCCTAGTTTGAAGACCAGGCGTGACTGGTAGCACCATCTGGTGTGATTATGGGATACCTTATTTATTATTCTAAGTAAGTAAGGCGTCCATAATCTACAGTGGCCGTTTACCATCAAACGGTCTGTACGCTTGTTTGCCACACTTGTGGTATAAAAAAAAAGTTGCATATAGAATATACTTTTTAGATTGATATTAAATTTTTTTTTAATTCATTTCTGATAACGCATATGTTGCCAGACTACAATATAAACTCTGTTCAATGTGAAAAAAAAAATTATAAAAGTGATTTAAATAAAATAAGAAACAGTAAAATATTTTACAATAAAAAATATATATATATATATTCATATAAAACTTATATTTCAATAAGATTTAATCACAATATTTTCATTTCATTACAATAACGACATAAAACCGTTCGTTGTAATTTATTAAAATAAAAATAAAATTAACTACTTACTTCTACGATTGGCACTTAATGAGCTCAATAATATAGTAACGTGATACAAAAATAATAATTTACAACGTTCTATTTACATTATAAGCTAATACTAATAAAAAAAAAAAACAGCACGCATTATGACAGTAATAAACTGATTTTGGTCTATGCAATAAATATTTTATATTTTGTATTCACGAAAAAAAGACAATAAATTAATTAATAATTGAAATAATAATAAAACTTTTCATTAAAAAATGAGTAATAAAGTGTTATTTTAATATGCAGTTAAAAAAGGGTATCTGGACACATTTTAAATAAATTATACTTAATTATTCTGGTTTATTAATTTTCAAAACATTTATTAATTTTCTCTTTGACACATGTCTATCAGTTGTTTATTGATTTTTCAAACAAATCTCTCCGTACGTACATATTTTATCTTTATGTATAGTATTTATCAATAAATCATAAATAAAGAAAAAAAATTATACAAGTAAACCTAAATTTAAGCAATTTTTATTAGTTGCATACTGACAGTGAATATATAAAACTATTAGATTTACGTGAGAGCAACTTTTTACATAAGTCGTACGCTTGGGTACCCCAGTCCCACTCGAGCCTCTATAACCGAACAGCTAGATTAATTAACACCTAACATACGTAGGTCCCCATTTTATTTATTTATGAATGTACTATTAGATACTATATGTTACTGTCATAATATAGATAGATAGATACTCTTTATTGTTTCCTCCAAAAGATTACAATAGTAAACTTATTATAAATATAAATAATTACAAGAAATAATCACAATGTGAAAACAATGAGCGGCCTTATCGGTAAGAGCGATCTCTTCCAGCCAACCCTTGGATGGAGAGGAGTAATTATAAACAGTTTGGTGGGAGGCACTATGAAAAATTTTGTTAGTTCTAAATTACGTAAATACATGTATATTACGTATTGTTTTTAATGCCATAACATTATGTTACATATTGGAGTTGGATTTTATATAATAATTTGATTGATTTGATAAAATAAAAAATAAAATAAAATAAAAAAACATTAATAGAGTAACACGTAAGCATATAATTTAAGATATTTCGCTATTAAAATTAATATTTTCAAACGATCAATAAAAATTTTGATTTCCCCCAGGATTATTTATTTCGGTAAAAGTAGCATGTAAAAATATGTTCAGAAGCATAAATAAGTATACCGGTTTTTTTTTAATTTTTATCCCAGTACCTAGCCTTCAAACCGAAACACAGCCATTCAAGCACAAGTGCTTTATGACAGAAACACAAGTGGTACATGGGTATCTAAGCAAACGACTTTTTTACTAAGTCTCCTCGTGGATTATTATTCAATCATTAAATTGTGAAATTAAATTAAACGTTTCGAATACTTTTACATATATTCGATACGATATAATATGAAAAAATAAATCCTATATAAAAGCACACGTCTTTTTCGTCTATGGAATGCCTTGCTGCAAACGACTATATCCCGAAACTAATAACCGGTTACAAATCGAATAATAACTTATGAATAGGCTGTATGGGCCATGCTCTTTGCCTGTCCATTTTGGACGAATTTTAAAACAACAACATCAGGATGAAATCGAGTGTATTATCATTTTTAAAGCAGTATTCTACAAATAAAATCGATTATTTTCAATCGACTTCAATAAAAAGGAAGTAAGAAGTCAATTCGGTATATTTTTTTTTCATCTTTGTTACATTATAACTCCATCGATTATAAACCAATTTGGAAATTATCTGTAAATATATACTTACAGATTGGTCCTATATATTTTTTTTTATTAAACTTAAAATGACAAACAAGCTGACGGCCCACCTGATGGAAAGTGGTAACCGTCGCCTATAGACATGAGCAGTACCATGGACATAACAGAGTATACTGTTTCGCCCATGATACCCCCCATGCGTTGCTATTCCTGAGGACTCAGGTGTTATTCCTCTGTACCCTGTAAATTCACGCCAATTTAATGGAAATCGATTCAGCAGTTTAGATATAAAATTAAAATAAATGTTTTTTTTTAAGCGCTACACTACTACTTTAATTATTTAATTTAATTTTACTGTATTGACAATTTTTAATTTTTATTTCATTTTCCTGGATAAATACTAGATAAAATTTATAATATATTTTTATATGTAAATATTCATCATCATTTCAGCCACTATCCGTCCACTGCTGGACATACGCCTCCCCCATAGACTGCCATAAGGAACGGTCCTGAACCACCTGCATCCACGTAATATGTAAGTATTATATATAAATATGTATGTTTATTTTATGAATTTAATTTGGTAATTACATATTATTATAAAATAGTCTTTTATACTATATATATATATATAAATAGTTTTTATTTTTAAACCGCCATTCGTATCTCTGCACATTCTAAAGTTTGACTGGTAGACAATGCCTACAGCATTAAGTCCTCCTTTTGTGCCACATTTTATTGGTCAATAAATTTTAAATAAATAAACATATGTATTATTATATAAAATTTAAAGAACATTTAAGTTATTTGTATGAATCTATGACAGAAATAGTGTCCAGAAACTGTCTCCTTTTTTGTTACGAGCGAGATTATCAATTGAAAGCACATATAAGTTGCAAAAGAAAAGATATAAGGAATTCTTACAAAATTTTGACTATACATATAATAGACTAGTCTATATAATTTATGAAGGCAAAAAAGTAACTAAACATTATATTACAATATACCTAACTAGCTTAACAACAATTACTAGGAACGAATTAATATCAATAATATAATTGTGTATATAATATAAAAATATAATTATAAATGCTTCACAATGGACGACTGTATATCTAATGAAGCTGGAAATACGAAATTATGCCATGATATTACATCTAACATTTTTAAATGCATCTACTGTCATTCCATGTAGAGTATAAAACAATTTTTTTTTTTTATTATCTGTTACAAATTCTTTTGTTTTTTGTGTTATACTCATTTTTTTTTTTATTCTTATTTATATTGTTCAATTTTTTTTATTATTAATACTTGTATATCAGTACAATTTTAACTCGAACCGACATTTTATTTTGCTAACAGTTTATAATAAAATCTATTTAGAATTTCTCGATTGAATTTGCAGTTAAAACTTTATTGTTATTTTAAAATGGCAACACCATTTATTATTTCCCTTACATCTATTTATTTAAGCGATCTCTTCAACAACTATCAATGAATAGCTCAAATACCAAAATGTATTGATTAAATAAAATTATTCGTACTGTAGAACCAATGGATTTGTTATATTACTCAGTGCAAACGTGTTAAACTTATCCAAGATGACAGGTTAAGTTACCTGTCATAACTAAAAGTATTTTGGACTGATGTATGAATGTACACATTCAATTATAATAAAAAAAAAATTTAAACACCTATTATATTGCAATATATTTCCCGCCGCAATTGTTGAGAAAAAAAAAGGAATGAAAAAATGGGATTCCTCCATCAAGGTCGGTTATAATTTTCCAAAGCGAAATTTGATTTTTAATAATTTAATGAATAATGAAAAATTTACTATTTTCAAAGACAATAAACTTTGAAAGAGAGCCGACTCACTTATTCCAACCTGCTCTGACTGACTGACTAACAACGTAATCTCACTCAATATCATTCAATAACTATTTTGTACAAAAATAGAATAATATCAACATCCAAGTAATAATAACGCATTCTAGAGCACACCCACTATCACTTGCTGTGTATACTAACTCACCAATTTTGTCGTTAATTTTGAACATTCCTAATAATTTTATGACTACCTACTTAGACCCTGTACTAGCTAGCACCTTTCTCTTGTTCAGGCCACAGAACTTCTGGGTGGTTTAACATATAATACGTCATATGTTTCTCACTGCCGTACGTTGAAGCCTTCGTACCTAAACACATTAAGAACTGACTCTTCTCCAAATTCTTATCACAGTCCACAGAATGGAATTTGTGTACCAGGCTCTCATCAGCTGCTCTATACACACTCAAGTTTGATTTTATCAAAGTCTCAAATAAATGTACGTCTTCTAGACCCCAGCCCTTTATACTCAAATCAAAACCACCAACCCTCTCGAAATCACATTTAAAAATACCTAAAATACCAAATCCATATTGCCTAAAATACCCATTGTCATCGTTTATCTCTTTAGTGTACTTCAAAGTTGCAATTTCTCTTTCACTTTTAACACTTTCATCACTCTCTACAAATTTGTCTGAATCGGTATTCGTATCATCGTCTTCACCTATAAATTTATTGTAGTCATCACCGTTCACCACTTCGGGATTGTATTCACTGAACACTATTGGAAAGTAAACTTGATTATATTTAATCGTGTTTATCCTAATTCTCATGAGAGTCACAAAATTAAACATCATATCTACATCTATAAAGAAAACTAGGTCATCACTTGAACACAGTTTGAGTCCTTCAGTCAGCGCAGCGCCTCTCGAGAACGTAGTAGCTCCCATTTGTACGACTTTGATTTCCTTTCCATACATATCTACATAGTATTTGATTAACGCCTCCGTATTTCCATAATCCAAAGGGTTCTTACTGTCTAAATAAAGTACAACTATTAATCTCACAGCCTCGTTGCTTTTTAATACGATATCTTCATAGTTCTTCATGAACCTCCCGAAAATCTCTTGTCTGCCCAACAGTGGCAAAATGAAATGAATCTTCCGATCGGAAACTGGGTATTCGTCAAAATCAACCTCGCTCCACTGTAGAACTTTTGGCAGATTGTTGTGTATCTTGTTAATGCCGTTTTCAAAGGCTTCCCTAACGTTTATTTTGCCAAAATCAAGAAAACTGTTCTGCTGTTGACTCGACTCGTCGAAGTCCTCGTATTCGTTAACGAGGTCCTTCTCGCTGCTCTGCTTTAGTATTGATGGGTCTTCAAATGGCGGAGGTTCACCCATCGGCAGCTCCCTTATCTCCATTGCTGCAAAGAAAAAAAGTCATTTTGAGTTATTTATTATTATGTTTTTGGACATATACAACATTTACTTGATCGATATACAATAAATAGTACCTATTTGCAAGTTATATGCAGATGGACATTTTAATATGCTCTGATTGACTCAATTTATGCTTATTTATTGTAACGAACAAGTACTCAAAACCACAGAAACCAATACGGTAGAATTGTGTGTGATTTTTTATGAATATACTTCATTTACTTTCTTTGTCTCATTTATTTCTGCTGCCAAACAACTTGCGTACATGTTTAGATGTGTATGCGAATAAAATTACTTGCGTGTTATTCCATATCAGGGATTTAATGATGGTAAAATAATAAGAATTAATAATCTTGGGCATCATAGAATAAAATATACTACCATATATTCCTTATTCCTATGGTAAAAGTTTTAAGGCGCAGGTTAATACCTTCTATTTTGCAAGCATTCATACTATAGGCTGCAGTGACTATTTATTATCAGATAAATAGATATTTGTCATCAGGTTTTCCCAAGAGACTACAGCATGGGGTGCCTCAAAAGGGGGGGGGGGGGGGAGGTAAGAGACCCTACGTTTCATGGGCAACTTCACTGTACATAAATAAAGGAAAAGGCATAAAACCATAAATATATACATAATATATACATAAAGGCATAAATATGGCAATTGTCCTCAAAAATAGCAACGTATAAAGCCATGGATGTCACAGAGGGAGTGTTCATGATGTCCATGGTACTGTTCATATCTGTAAACGACGGTTTTCTTTTTTCTATTAGGTAGACTGTCAACTTGTTTAATTGTAACATTATTATTATTGAAAGACGGATTTTTCCAGGCAGAAAAACCTGTAACACTGCGACCTTTCCATTCCAATCTTTGTGCTCGCCCTTTTTTGTAGTTCGCTACTAATTCCTATCAATGATAGGAATTTTAAGATGTTTTTAGCGGCAATGTTTTTTATCGCCTCAGGAGATAGAGTGTGTTTTCCAAAGAAGATATATCGTTTATCTATGAATGAGCTACACCCGTAAATTAAGTGCTACGGCGTTTCTTCCTCACTGTGACAAAATCTGCAAACACTTTTTGGAGATAAGCCTAGTTGGGCCATATGCTTGTTTAGTTTGCAGTGTCCTGTGAGAGCCCTTGTTAATACACACATTATATTTTTATTCAAAAGAATTAATTACTTAATTTTCTGAAAACCCTTTAATCGGGGCTTTTGAGTGATTTGATCATGGCAACAGAATCCGACTATTATTTGCTTCTAAGCTTTCAAGTTTAATGTTAACATAAAACAAGTCCAGAAGTTATACCAAAAGATCATAAAAATAATTTTACCAGTGAAGGTCTGCTGCAAGTATGCGTGCCGTCGCACACTGGCCGTCATCTTCCGTCCCCTGTACCTCCTGTACTTGAGCAGCAGGTCCAGCACGTGATCCACACCATGTAGCGGCTCTAAACGGGTGTACCCATACAGCAGCTCGTTAAAGTCGATGATCCTACCACGCTGACGGGACGGCGCGTTGATGATTTCCATTACCTGAAATGATTTGTAAAATGGAGTTTTATATACATATATATTCTCTATTGCACTTGTAAATTACATTGTTAATTGATTTATAAATATTGTAAGCAAAGTGGGACTTATCTATGACAGAGATCTCTTCCAGTCAACCCAATACAATACAACATCATATGCTGGGGGGAATGGGATTTTTAGTAATGGGGTCTAACTGACTCATTGTTAGCAATACACCCTATCAGGTCGACCTCCACGCGGTTCCTCTGGAAACCATAGTGGTTGATTCTAGCGAAATTCTTCACTAACCTAACTAATTCTTCACTAAGCTAACTAATCTGCTTTCATCATCACCTATCATCCCTCACTAGTACTCCGCCAGCATATACCGATAGCGCAGGCAGGGTTACCATTCCATTATCAATCATAAAAAAAAATACAATACAATATCATATGCTTTGAGTAATTTTTTGAATCAGATCAAAGAAAGACTATATACGAGTCGTCTACTTCAACGCTTCTCTCCTACTCGTGTTTCTGGTGCTAAGTTGTTATCGATTTAAATGGTAAAGCATATGTATAGTGTTCGCCTTGTGGTCCTGGCATAGAATGGGCCACCGTTTTCTTTCCCATGGGTGTCGTAAGAAACAACTAAGGGAACTTAATGATCGAGGAATGGGCAGTAGCGACCCTCTTCAAACATCAATAACGCCTAACTGCGATTGTCAACCCGCCTGCCAGGCGTCGTAACTTCTTTTTTTATGCACCTTAGAATGGCAAACAAGCTGACGGCCCATCTGATGGAAAGCGGAAACCGTCGCCCATAGACATGAACAGTGCCGTGGACATAACAGAGTATAGTGTTTCGCACATGATACCACTGAGGACTCAGGTGTCATTCCTCTGTACCCAGTAAATTCACGCCATATCGCACCCTTCAAACCGAAACACAGCCATGCAAACACAACTGAAAGGAACCATATTACATACTTAATAAATATTTATAATAATTTTCCCTTAAAAATTATTGTAACTACAAAATCTCAATGATGGGAGTGAAACTACATACTTCACATGAAATCAATCAAATCATCGTCATTATTGGTAAAAAAAATTACAAAACTCACTTCTCTAATGACATCGTCAGAGCCTCCTTCAGGGGGCCTTCGATCCTCCTCTTCGGATTGGAGTGACTCACGGAGTAGATGGACTTGCTGATAAAATCAAAAGGCACTATGTCCTCGTAGTCATCTGGCTGGTACCTGTTCATGTCTATTGGAGCACCTGGAACACGTATTTTTTTATTTTTTTTATTTTAATGACGCACACATAACAAATTTTAATCATGTTACGTTTATATATAGGTAATTATGATTTTTATACCAGGTTACAATTGAAAAACATGTGTACACGACATGATCAAATTTTTTTTGATGGGTGAAAATGATATGGTAACCCCGCCCGCGCTAACGGTATACGCTGGCGGAGCACCAGTGAAGGGTGATAGATAAGAATGAAAACAGGTCAGTTAGTACATCATGATGAATTCATCAGGAATTAACCATGATAGTTGGGGGAAAGGGGTTGTTAGTAATGGAGACTGAGAATCCCATTGCTAGCAATATACCCAACCAGGTCGACCTCCTCGCGGTTCTCCCTGAAAACTATCATGGTTAATTTCTAATAAATTTATCATGATGGGCTAACTAGCCTGTTTTCATTCTCATCTATCATCCTTCACTGGTGCTCCACCAGCGTATCTCATTAGCGCAGGCGGAGTTACCGTTACCATACCGTTTTCACCCATAAAAAAAACCATGATAGTTTCCAGGGTGAACCTCGAACAGGTCGACCTGGTAGGGTATATTGCTAGCAATGGGATTCTCAGTCTCCATTACTAACAATCCCTTTCCCCTCGACTGATTAACATTTAGACATAGCATTTGAATTTCGACAGGTGGAAAATATATAAAATGATGGGATTAATAAATCTTACTAATAGAATTATAACTTAACGATATCTGTACGAGATTTAGGAGATATTTAAGAAAAACTTATATGAGGACAAGAACAAATTTCCTCTGTATATTTGTATCAGGTCTTCTTTTTAAAAAAGCTTTATATTTATATATATTTATATATTCACATTATCTCTAACAAAATGATTTTTTAATATATGAATGCAAGTGGCACAGGTTCTTTCCTTTTGAGAATGATATCCCTAGATTCCTACACACACACACTATTCCTATACGCCTGTTAATGATGTGCGTTTGCGTTTTGATGATGAACGGATGATATAATGATGATGGTGATGATGATGATAAATAAACACACCTAGTATTTGAAGCGGTTTAACTAAGGTAAATAAAAAATAATTTTGAAGCGTTGATGTAATATAAATTTGATGTAATGCACTGAAGTTTCGTTTTGCAAGTAAGGTTACAATTTGAAACCTGAAAGGTCATATAATTTTCTCCTGCGTTATGACTGGCGTTCTCGCGATGTCGTGATGAGCGACTCTTGTAACTGGTTGATGTTGTGTGTGATTGTCTATTAATAACTTAGCACTCGTCCATTGGTTTTACCGCTGAAAACGCTTCATTACACGCAGGAGTGATGAATATTCATGACATATTATTAATGCTTTAACAACGCCTGTTACAGAATGGTCTTAAGAATGATACCAACTTCTGTTTCTAGTATCCTATAGAGATGGCCTTTACTGTAGGTGTAGGATACAGCAATCTTACAGAGGAGAAAGGGATTGTTAGCAATGGAGTTTGACAGCCCCATTGCTAGCAATATGCCCTATTAGGTCGACCTTCACGTGATTCCCCCTGAAAACCATCGTAAACAATTCTTGTTGAATTCGTCACGATGGGCTAACTGACCTGTTTCATCCTTACCTATTATCACTTCACCCCGCCGGTGTTTACCGATAGCGCAAGTGGGGTTACCATTCCATTATCACCAATAAAAAAAACAGCAATCTTACATATTTTTACATATTCAGGAATAAATGAAGTAATTATTGAAATGGTGATAATATAATCTTACCTAATATAGTATTATTCCCTAAGTAGCCCGGCTCCCCGACCTTCACCGGGAACAAAGGCACGCCACCAGGAAACACGTGATCCTCGACCTGATCGGCTGACACTGACAGCTCCCGCATGGACATCGCGATGTCTCTGTGAAGATCCAGAGAGCTCTCACGGATCTCTTGAATTCGAAGGTTCTGAAATGAGACATTTGAAAAGTTCATACACCAAATACGAATATGAATACGGGGGAAGGATTCAAGAAGGATCACTTAATAATCTTTTGACTTCTGGTAACTGGATTTTGTCTAAGATTATTTCCTGGCAGCGACGGCCTTAGGGAGCGGCGAACAGGGCAATTGCCTGGGACCTCGTTCTTGTAGAGGCCTCGCGTAACAACTCATGCAAATTTTAAACAACCAGTGAGTGACATGACAATTTGTCTAGTGACAAATCGCAAAAACTTCCTGAATTAGTCATTTTAATCGGGAATGAACAAAATTACCAACACTAAAATATACAAATAAAAAAAATATATGTATATACTTGTCATTATTACTTATTAGTATTTGTCATTTATATATTACATGACAAATACTTAAATCAAATAACCAGACTTAGTTCGCATCATATACTTTTCATGAAGGACAAATAGCCTCACAAAGACCTACCGCCCGAAGCCTCGCAATAGGTACGGCCGCCGCTGTTTCCTGGCACTACAATATGAGTCTATTCAAAAAACGCACTGCTAGTGAAACGTAGTGTTGTAAATATTCACGAACATTAGCGTCAGCTGCCCCTCCTGAACACAATTGTGATTAATTTCTATAGAAATTCTTCGAACAACTCAAGTGGTCTCCTTAATTCACACCTATCATCCCCCACTGTTATCTATTACGGATATTTAATCAAATTAGCCCAGCCATTCCCAAATAACACCCTTATTTGAGAATAGCTTTAGTTAAGTGAAATCAATAGGTTGCATCAAATCTTCAAAAGGGTTGTAAAGAGGTTTCTTCAGGGTCGGCAACTCACGCGTGATACCTCTGGTATTGCAGGTGTTCATAGACTACGGTAACCACTTACCATCAGGTGGGCCGTATGCTTGTTTGCCACCTCAGTGGTATAAAAAAAAACTAATTACAAAAAAATAAACAATAAACGAAACGATAAATAAAGTAGTTCAAATACGCACGAAATTGTGTTCGATTATCAAGTTTTCAATTTCACTGCTAGAACATACACTTTAAAGATTTTAACAATTTCATCCTGTATAGATTTTAAGAACTCAGGCAGGCGGCCGTTTGTAAAACTAACTATTATTCAAAACCTTGGGTAATATAATTAAAATCATATTACGCCAACCAAAAATAATTGGAATATGGGCAAAAAGATGATGATAGATTTTAGAAACTCACCGTGGTGATTTTATGTAACAATTGTAAAATATATAATTATTTATACAATAATTATTTATACAATAATTATATATTTTATAATTGTTACATAAAATCATCAATCATCTGTTGTATTCAAAACAAATTACCTCAGACTTTTAATAAATCTAATATTATAATATAAAATAAATTATAAGGAATTATCTTCGTAATATACATATATCTAAACGCCACAATATAATTTGATTAAATCGGATCCGGATCGGACTCTTTGAATGTCAATAATATACCTACGTCTACAATAAAGAATAATAAAGATTATAATTATGAACAATCAATAATTCGGATATAAACAAGATAATAGTGCAATGGACTTTCCATTCCGAACGTTCTTTTGTAATCAACATAATTAATGTATCTGTCATATAAATTAAAGAAAGAATGATAACTTTTATAAAAAAATATTAGAAAAACAAAAATTAATTTCACTAATAAATATAAATGTGACAATTTATGTAAATTGAATAGTTGATTTGGATTCGTAGTTTGTGTGAAAAGAATGGTTGATTTGGATTCGTAGTTTGTGTGAAAAGAATGGTTGATTTGGGTTCGTAGTTTGTGTGAATTGAATGGTTTACTTGGGTTTGTGTGAATCAATGGTTTACTTGTGTTCATAGTTTGTGTAAATTGAATGGTGTACTTGAGTTCATAGTTTGTGTGTATTGAATAGTTGATTTGGGTGCATAGTTTGTATGAATTAAATAATTGATTTGGCTTCATAGTTTGTGTGAATTGAATGGTTTACTTAGGTTTGTGTGAATCAATGGTTTACTTGTGTTCATAGTTTGTGTAAATTGAATGGTTTACTTAGGTTCATAGTTTGTGTGTATTAAATAGTTGATTTGGGTGCATAGTTTGTATGAATTAAATAATTGATTTGGCTTCATAGTTTGTGTGAATTGAATGGTTTACTTGAGTTCATAATTTGTGTGAATTAATAGGTTGATCTAAATTTAAACCATTTGATACATTAATGTATCTATTACAATTATATTGGATTAACATAGCGGCTGCTGAGGTAAATTTATTTTTGAGATACGTAATTCACAAAAGGCGGTTCTTTTACATAGATAAAACCGTCATAAATATTTAACAATTTTTTTTGCAACTTGGGAGTGACATGCAAGATAAGGATCTATTATATCTTATAGTGCATGGTAACTCTCGCCTATAGATACGAACAAAACTATGTACATCACAGAACACACACAATCATGGTAACTCTCACGCATTGCCTTTCCTAAAGAACCTGAGCGAAACCTCCACCTTCAAATTACTGTATTTTTGTTTACTAATTAATGAAGTCATAAAAGATACTAGTTCATTTACCTGTATGATGCTATATCAAGATGAAAGTGTTTGAAACACATAAATCATTCAGTATATCTGTCACTAAACAAAACCATTTGCAATCTACGAGTAACACTAACGTTCACATAAAAGATCAAACAGCACATGTGCTGATGTATTTACAAAAATCTACGCATGAGTCAGTAATACAATAAACAGTACAATATATGGTACGCAAGTACAAGGAATTTCATAGAATAGTAAAATTATATAAAATTATGTTGTAAACATCCGTTCTATAATTATGTTAAGTCCCGACATAAAATAGGGTGGGGAAAGAGATTGTTAGTAATGAGGTCAAATAAATTACTATCAATATACCCTGTCAAGTCGACCTCTACGTGGTTCCCCCTGGAAACCATCGTGGCTAATTCTAGTTGAATGTGTCAGGATGGGATAACTGACCTGATTCATTTTCATCTATCATCCTTCACTGGTGCCCCGCCGGTGTATACCGATAGCGCGGGTGGGGTTACTATTTCTTTATCACCCATAAAAAGGACATAAAATAGGTCACCCCTTCTTTTTCTGTGGGTGTAGTAGGAGACGACTAAAAGAACCTAACGGTAGAGAGATGAGCAGCAGCGTGCCTTTTAAAACATGTCTAAAAGCCTAACTGCGGTTGCCAACTCGCTTACCAAGCGTGACAACTACTGGCAAACCTCCCCTTATGAGGGAAACTTATGTTCAGCAATGGACAGTTAACGAAGGTGGCAAACAAACGTACAGCCCGTCTAATAGTAAAAGGTCATGGTAGTCTAGATGCCAGCAACACTACTACATCTTGACGCCTTACTTAAGCCATTAGCTGAGGCAATCATTATGAAATTTTGTATACACATATTATATTTAACTCCTGAAACACAGGTTTTTTCATACCTACCTCGGGAATAAAGGACTTCAAACTATATTATAACAAAGAATGAAATAAAGATTATTTATTTATTATTTATTAACAATAATGAAAAGTAACATAAATTAACACCTTATTTATTTATTTAAGCTGTTTGATAAATAAATAAAAAAAAAATTCAATATGGAATCGAAAAGGGCAAAGGGTAATTTTTGTCTAAATCGATCAAGTCGAATTAATAATTTATTTGCATGAAAGTGGAAGAAAATCCTGTAGACATACGCAGAGCACCCAATAAGCATATTTTTAAAAGAAGACTTTTTAATTATTTGTTGAGTCAACAAAACCAGCTCTAGTTACAGGTTTTTAAATAGTTACTATATAAAAGAAGAAAGAAAGAAAGAAAAAAAAACTTTATTCTACAAGAAATATGCGACGGCACCCACACAGGGGTTAAAAAAAATCCATATATTACGAATTATAATAAAGAAACAACACAAAAAAATATTTATAAAAAAAAAAATATATAAAATTAAAAAAGAAAAATAAAACGATTCGTATTATAACAATTTCATCAAAAATGAGTGTGTGTGTGCGTGCGTCGCAATACCTGCAAAATGAGGCGCGTGCTCAGCATTATGCTGTAGTGTCAGGGACACTACAGCGCTGATTTTCAGCACGCGCCTCGCCAACCCGCGGGGTCCTAATAATAACAATAATGTTTGAAAACTTGACCAACACAGTGGTGTGCTTAAAGTGTATTGTGTAAAAAATAAAAATAAAATAAATATAATAAATTTGTAGTGGGTATATATTGAATGATAAATTGTGACGTTGTCAATGTTGAATGATAATAATCACACGAAAAACATAAAATACGTATAGAATAAGTATTTTCCTTTTACGTAGTAATACTACAGACGCTAAAGAAACTAAATATCGAATATAGTTGAATCATCCCCACATTCAAACGAGGACCACAAAAACTAGGTAAGTACATACCTCCTTGAGTTGCAATATGCTCCTCTTGCAATATGCAATATGTCAATAATGTAATCAATAGCAACCAGTAATTAGATAATAATAAAAAATATATTATTGATTGTGTATTATATTAAAGTGAAATAACTGTTCATATATGTATCATAGAACTCCTAGCTGCACCTAATAGGATACTCATTAGAAAGTCTCTGGTAAGGAAGATCCCGGACAGAGACCAGCAATTTAATTGGCTTTTTGTTGGTGTAGATAATATTTTTTTAGATTACTCTTAAACGTATGTACATTTTTCAGGTTTCGAATTGGTGGAGGAAGATCATTCCAACAGCGAGTGGCAGCGTATTTGAAACTGCCCCTGAAAGCAGCCGTCCTATATCTTGGAATGCTGAGTACATTCACAATTGGACGAACAGCATACTTGTGATAGTTTTGCCTCCACGACAGTTTTTCGTGCAAGTAGCGTGGTTGGCCAGTAGCAATTACTCCGAAGAGTAAAGTAGCAAAATGAAGCTTTCTCCTGGCGGACATTTTGATCATA